ACCCACGAGGACTACGTGTTAGATCGAGTTAAAACTAATTCCAACTTTAATCGAATAGCAAACAAATTTTATGATTTTTTATACTAATCCTTAAATTATGAATTAAACTAATAAAAGTAAGTAAATGTGTTTTTATTCAAATATGTGAGATGCATTGTTAAAATGTCGAATCCCCCTTATTATTCCATTTTTAGTGTAACAATTAAAGTATAATTTGAAATCATTTATGTTGGTTAATGTTCCTAATTTAATTGAAAGTCTCTCTCAATAGCGATCAAATATATTCCCCTCATGTGACATTTCTCTCTCTCAATGAAATATGCAAATGTGATAAATGCATTAATAAGTGTTAGAACACCTATTGAAACCATATAAAACATAGATGTTTATCTCTATCATCTATCGAACCTTACAATGTTTATTATATTGTACTTAAACCTTATTGTCTCTCTCGATAATAATAAAATTCACTAACAATTCAATTGGTGATCAAGTAATTGAAAAGAATGATAAAACGATAATAAGCATCCACGAATCAAATCAAATTAAAGTAAAAAATAATTAATTAAAAACTAAAAATATCATAACAAGGGTTCATCTCATCCTGTCAATGTATATAATTAGCCTAATATATCGAAATTATAAGAAATCATATTTAAGTGAAAAGATATAATCCGAATTTTTGATAAATTGAGAAAATGAAGATGAATTTTGAAATCTTGAATCTCCTCAATGGTTTCTTGATGAATCTCCACTTGCACATTCTCTTCTTTGCCCAAAACTCAAGTTTGAATCTTCACTTGATTGAATTCTTGCAAATCTTCTTCAATTTTCTTACAAAAATAATGAATTCTCCTACTTTTATGACAATAATTGATGAATATTGGAGTATGAGATGTATATGAGAGATCCCCCATATGTATTCTGCTATTAGTTATTTGTAGGAGTAGAAAATTAGTTAAAAATTATGTCCAAATTGATTTCCAAAAGAGTTTCAACTTCCAATCGAATAAGGAAAGTTATCTTCGCATGCTGATTTTTGATTCCGCACAGCAGTTTGTATTTTGACCATAAAGTTCTTTGTTGATATCCGATTGAAACAATTCAAGGTGTATTGGAAATCTAACTCAAATGGCTAAAACTTTTCTAGTATAGAGTTGTCCCAATTCAGACTTTTACTATGCGAAAAATGAGTCTCAATTCTCGACTAAAAATCTTGAATATAATTTGTGCTATTGAAAATTAATTTTAATCATATTCCATTCCTTTTTGAGTTCTAATTCCATCCAATTGTATCCCAAAAATCTTCAATCATCTTGTGGTTCGAATCAACTATTGAATTTGCAGTTTGGTCTTCAAACTTTGGATTTTAGCCCTTTTCACCAATTTTCGCTTCCTCTTTTCCATTCATTGTTCAGTCATTGAGTTTTACCTGTATAACGTAAAATACAAAAAATTAGGTATATTTTGTGGGAAGAACTATCAAATATTATTATTTTAAATTCCGAACAACTGTATAAAATACACTTATCAGCTAGTAAAGATCCTATAGATAAACAAGAAAGGCAGCCAAAGAAGTTATTAATTTACACTTAACTCTTTTGCAAGGTTAGTGTATCTACTCAATGACAATTTCTGATAGGCTCTCTCTTAATGTACATCCATAGTGTCCATTCTTGACGCAGCATTCCTTCCTGAAGCTGTCACAACATCCACCTATACGTCTGTTATCCAAAGCCGAACTAGAGTTGATGGTTGAATGCACGTGTCGATAGCCTTCTGCAACATGCATTTTACTTCCTAAGTGAGCCTTCTCATTTCGGTGTGTACAAGCACAGCAATTTTTCTCTGGGATGCCTATTTTGTTGTCACTTAAGTCATCTTTTTGGGGATTCACACAATGGTTTTCCAGGCAGTGGTTTCCAGGATTCTTGCGATCATCAGATTTGATTGATTGTGAAGTACTCTCGCATGTTGGGATACTATGGTTGCCATGATCACAGTGTCTGTTGTGTAGCCCATCGTCAGATACACAAACGTTGGTCATTGGAGTCAATTTCGCA